CGGAGGGGTGCGCTGGTGCTGAGAAGCCCCATAGAGAGGTGAGCCAGTGGCCAGAGGCTGCAGCCAGGGTGAGGCTGGGGAAGCAGGGCCAGGAAGTGCCCAGAGAGGCAGAGACACCTGCGGCAGCGTGGGCGAGCCCTGGCCCATTATGCCCCAGTGAAAGAAGCCAGACACAAAGACCACATAGAGTGCAATGTCCTTGATAGGAAATGTACAGAACAGGCAAATGTAGAGGGGTGGAAAGTGGGTTAGTGCTTATCTAGGGCCGGGTGGGGGGTGTGGAGGATGGGAATGACTTCTAATAGGTACAGGGATTCTTTTTAGGATGATAAAAATGGCCCCAAATTGACTACAGTGGGGAGTGCACAACTCTGAATATACTAAAGATCACTGGATTGTAATTGAATAGTGTGTGAATCATACCTCAACAAAGCTGCTACACACACGCACACACACAAAAGAGGTAGGAGATCCAAGATCCAAGAGAAATACAGACTCCACGGGCTTGCCTCAGAAACTCAGCAGGTTCAAGGGGAAAGCTCCAGAATATTCTCCAATGCATCCTGCTCATTGTCCAAGACCCAGAGAGGCTGCGTTCCCTGCTTCAGTCCTGCTGCCACTTGGGCCAAGCAACAGACTCAGCTGTATGCAGGCATTTTGTGTAAGTCAGCTGAGAAGCGTGAGTGCTCCATTCACAACACACCCCTGCCCCGTGTTAGCTGCACTTCACATGCGATTTGTGTACATAGGGCCACAGGACTGCTAACTGGGAGAGATGATGTCCCAATTCCAGTTCAACTCTGTGGTTTTAAATCATTGAATCTCTTAAGAGTCAGGATTTTCAACATGGGTAGAGAGACCTCCCGGCACCCAGGCTAGGCTTTCTCCTGCTAACCTCCCTGGTGTACAGAGTTGTCAGGGTCCCTCGAGGGCAGGTGGTAATGAAGCTGTAGGAAAGGCCTCTGGGCTTAGACGAAGGAGCCTGGCTGGGTAATTTTGAGCATGATAAGAAGACAGGATTTCAGAGATACCTGGGTTGAATCTGCTTTTAAACATGTGGGGACATGAAGCCCAGGGGAGTGGGAAGGCTTTCCGGTGGTGCAGGATGCCACTTGAGTGGAGCTGAGAGGGAGTTAGGTCTCTGGGCTCTCTATCCAGTGTCCCTTCCACAGCACCTGCAGCCTCCTAGGGCAAAGATGGGAGTAGGAAGGAAAGCAAGGGGCTGGCCATTCTGGGAGGGTTTGGGGCTCATGGGGCAATGGGAAATGGAGCTCTCGTTTGAGACACAAGTCCAGGGGACCTGAGGGGGCAGCAGAACGTGGCCTTGGGTCTGCTCTGGTAGTGCATGACACTGCTTCTAGATGGTTCTGCTTAGCCTTACCCAAGCCTTAGAGAAGGAGGGTGAGGCGCTGTCACCTGTGGTCGTGGGCTTGAGTTGGTGGTCTGGGTTCTAGTTTTAGTTTTGTGTCTCTCTCACTGTGAAGTCTTGGGCCAGCTCTTTCTCAGCTCCGACATGTGTAAAATGGGAATAGGCAGCAGACCCGCCTTTCTGAGAGGTGAGGATTTGTGAGCCTGTGTCTGAAATCTACTGTCTTGTGACAGCATTCCACACTGTGGTGTGTGTGCCGCTGCTGCGCGCCTGGCACAGGAGAGCTTTCTAGCCTTCTAGGGGCAAGGCCCTGTGACTAAAGCCAGCCTCCCTGCAGGGGAGGGCCAGTGTCTCCCAGGATAGAGAGCAGAAGTGCAACCTCCTGGAGAAGGATCCGCTACCATTCACCTGTCTGCCTCAGCGGGGCCCCATCAGGCCCCAGGGCGAGGAGCAGAGGCCACCAACATTATGCATCACTTAGTTCTCAGAATTCCTGGGGCCCTGATCGTTTCCAATTCAAATTCTTCCCCCACCCCATATGACAAGATACTTTTATTTATTCTGAGTTTCCCAAATCAATGAAAATATACAATCACTTTAATAGTAATTTCATTGATATAATGATCAGGTAATCGTTACCAAAACCAAAATTAAAACAAAGGAGCAGGGTTGGAAAAACACATGAAGAAGGAGGAGGAGGAGGAGGAGGAGGAGGAGGAGGAGGAGGAGGAGGAGGAGGAGGGAAGAAGAAACCATAACATTAAAACACAGAAGAAAACAGAAAATTTACTCAGTCTTGCTTTTTGGACACACTCTTAAAATTTCACTTACAGTGGTCAATAGCAAACACCTTTTTCAAGGAAATATGACTGAGTGGAGCTGCAGGTATCATGAGCTCTATTCCCTCATAAGAATTTTTTTCCATATTCTCTTTCCTTATAATTTCCCTAATTATGAAGGTTGGGGAAAAAAGAAACTGAAAAATATATCATCAGCTAGAAAATTTTCATTCCACACTGACTGACCGAACTTCCGCGAGTTCAAAGACTGAGGTTGGGACATCCTCAGTTATTTTAGACATTAGACTGGTGCTTCTGGTGCTTTCCACTTTCTCTCTCAAAGTTCTGGGAGAACAAATATTTATGTATCATTCAGTCTTCATCATCTCCACAGCCATTATCCTTCCCATTCTTACTCTCAATTCTAAAAACTAGAACGCCAAGAAGGCTCAGTGCTGTTAAGCAATGTGCCCGAGGTCATTTGGCCAGGACAGGCAGGGCCCTGGAGGGAGCCCCAGGTCTGGACAAGCCCAAATCCCATCCTCATTCCAAAGCTGCCCAGGGCAGGGGCTGCTGGAGGCCATATTTGCCCACAGTCTGATTTTGTTCAGAGCTGGCTGAGGGCCAGACCTCTGAGTTTACTGAAATGTTCTGAGAGTTATTGGGAGAAATGGAGCTTTGAACTTGCCTAATATAACACGGGCTGCTTCTCAGGATCATAAACATGTTTCTGAACCTAATTAAAGAGCCTCATGAAAAGGGCGAGGGCAGGACTGAGACATGACGGTCGGTCTACAGACTCCCCGTGGGCCAGGACGGGAGCTTGCTGTTCCCAGACTCAGGGAGGACCAGCCCTTGTGGGGGCCGAGAGTTAAGAGTTTTAGAAGGAAGAAAAGGGTCTTTTACAGTCCTGGCTGGGGACCCGGGCCGTACAGGGAGGGAATGGAGGAGGCGTAATTGGGGCTTGTAAAACATTTCCAGGCAAAATCACTTAATGTGTTTTGGAGAGTGAAAAGCCGCAGTGCACATGGTCCTGACGTTCGGGCGTCCTCTGCAGTCAGTAGGCTGGACGGAGGGCTCAGGGGGGCCGACCAGAGCTGACTGCCCTGGGCGGCGGCAGGTGGACTAGCTCAGGGCTCAGGACCCTGGAGCAGCAGACACTGGTTTGGGATTTCCGCTCATCCCCTCACTGTGTGACCTTGGGCAGGTTATTTATCCTGCTGCACCTCAACATCCTCATGTGGAAAGTGGGGACAAAACTTTGCCCCCTTGTTGGTTTGTTGTAAGGGGTAAGAATTCAAAGTGCGCAGGACAACTCCGGGGTGCAGCCCTTCCTACTTTGCTGCTGGGAGTGGGCGTGGGCTGCTACCAGGTTAGAGCAGTGTCCTCTTTCCTCTGAAATGGGCCACCCCTGGGGAGAGTGGCTGGAGCCCTCATCAGGCCTCTGTGGATTCCTTCTTCCACTTTTCTCCTGGCTCCCTTTTACCGGGTACTGGTTACTCTCGTCCATTTCCCAATATCCCCCTGACCAATACAGATCGTGTTCTCATCTCAAAACTCTGACAGTGCCCCATCCCTCTTGGGATATTATAGTTCAAATTTCTGGCCCTCTAGACCCAATTTAACGTGCCGAGCCATGTCCAGCCTCGTCCCCCTGTGGTTGGATAGCATGCCAAATGCTTCCAGTTTCCCCTCCTTCTAGACAAATGGTAAATATTGCACTTCCTGGCTCCCCGGTGGTTGGCTGGGGCAAACAACTGGATTGGCCGGTGAATTGTGAGCAGAAGCAACGTGTGGGCTGGAACTCTTTTTCCCTTTCTATACAACCGGAGCCATGGTCCAGACCAGGTGTTAACAAACACTTCCTGTAAAGATGTTCAGCTTTGTGAGGGGCATAGTCTCCCCGTCAGTCTTGGCTCTGCTGTTGGCAGTGGGAAGGTAATCGTAGGTAGTACACAACTGGAGAAGCAGGATTGCATTTCAATAAAATTTTATTTTAAAAAGGAGGCAGTTTGGATTTGGCTCACAGGCCACAGTGTTCAGGTCCCTATCCTGGACCATGCTGGCCAATGGAACTTTCTGCAGTGTTGGAAATGTTCCTAATATCTGTGCTGTCCAGTGGTCACCACTGGTCAGTCCTGTGTCTGCTGAGTAGCCTTATGTAGAGGCTAGCATATTGGGCAGGCAGTTTTAGACAGTGACTGTCCATCCGCCAGCCAGGGTCCTGGAAGGAAGACAACACAGAGAGTCACAGCTGACCACAATGCACATGGAGCTAATTTATGTATCATGAGCAACTGAGATTTGAGGGACATTTGGTCTTTGTCACTGTGGCATGGCATAGCCATTCCTGACCTTCATACCCTTCACTCCCACCTCCACACCCATCAAGCGTTCCCTGCACACGCAGGCGCCAGGCTTTGCTCATGCTGTTCCCTCTGCTGGGACATACCCTCTAAGTCCCTTGCACTGTCCCTTGTTTTGAGGGTAAATGCTACCTAATTGTTTAGAGTTCAGCTCAAATCTTGTCATTTCTTGGTGGTTTTCTTTTCTTGTTTTGGTACCAGGTATTGAACCCAGAGATGCTTAACCACTGAGCCATATCCTCAGTCCTTTTTCACGTTTTTAACTCAAGGTCTGGCTAAGTTTGTGAGATTGACTTTGAACTTGCCATCCTTCTGTCTCAACCTCCCACTGGGATTATAGGCGTGCGTCACCGTGCCCAGCTCTTGGTGGTTTCCCACTAATCCTCCATACCATTTTCGTGCAACAAGAATCACCTGCATCTTCCTCAGGGACCTTTATGATTGTAATCTAATGTAATTATTTTTTTTTCTTGTGTCTTCCACCAGATCTTGAGCTCTTGGAAGAGTCCTTATTGATCATACTTGGGTATCTCCTGGAGAACTTCAATAAGTGCTTGTTGAACTGATTGGATACTTCAGCCCCCGGTGGTGGGGGGTCTCACATAGCCTTCTCTGGCACTGGCTCAACTTTGGACCATTTCCCTACATCTTCTTGTCTTCCTGGCCAGGGCAATATACCCCAGGTTCTGAAATCCAGGCAATGAAGATGGTGGAGGAAGAGGAAAAAGTAGAAAAGAGAGATACCTATTAGTTTTATCATATCGTGGTTTAAAGTATCAACTTGGTTATTTCTTAAAAATGGACTCCACTATAAAGAGCAATTATGACTGTAAACGTAGATCCCAAGGCTCTTGGCATTAGTGTACCCAAACTGGAATGTGTTTGGAAGACTATGTAGCTCAAGGGCTTATTCCTGAAATTTCTTCTCAGTGGGTATAGTTTGTCAAAAATATTATTTTCTTCATTCAATAATTTTTGTTCTACCTAACAAGCATTTTTTTTTTTTTTGCAAAATATGGGGATATCATCATCAACATTCCGTGCATGCATGCATCTCTTTGTGGTTACAAAATACTTTTTAACTATGTCACCTTGAGCTTCAAATCCCCTGGGGAAGAAGACAGAGGAATATTTACAGCATTTGGATCATGGAGAAACTATAGCACGGAGCAGGGAGATGATTTGCTTTCAAGCACAAGCAGGCTGGGACCCAAGTGGGTACTTGAATCAGAACCCCAAGCTCACAGGCCTGTGGTCTCGGTGCTCAGACACATTCTCCCAGCACAGCCTCATCTCCACGCCAGGAGATCAAGACAGACCGTCGGGTCCTGGCCTAGTCTTGCAGTAGTCCTGAATTCCTATCCTTTCCTTCTTGAATAGCTTTAGTCAGAGAAATTTAGAGTAGGGGGTAGTTTTCTTGATTTCTTTTTTAAAAACAAGGCTCAGTTCATTAGCAGTCAGATACATAGAAATAATGAAACGATTTAAAGCCAGTTTGTGCATTTTTAAAAGTTCTCACAAGGGGAATAATGGACCTGAAATTCCTTTAGTACCAGAAAGGACATGTTTTATAAAACATCTGCCCATCCAAAGGACATTTTTACTTTTAATCTTTGGTCTCTCTGAGATACCACAGAAGGTTGCTGCAGATTCTTTCTGAGCAGTGAGGGACTAAACTGTGGTGATAGGACGATACCTGTGGCTACCTCCCTGCTGCGCTTGCTGTCCTCCTGTCCCTCAGACCCAGCCTTGGTGGTCTGCTCCCCACCAAGAGGAAGAAGAAATGGACAACTGCACCATCACGCAGAATGGGCTGTGGCAGCATCTCATTTTGGGAACCAATGAATTCAAGATGGTAGAAATAGCAAAATATTGAATTTCTTTCAGTTTTAAGATGATTAATTTTCTCATGGGTAATCGGCCTCCTGAAAAATCTTTTATGACAATACAGTGAAAATCAGTCTACGAAAGATGGAAGAAACCCCTACTTAAATAATAAACAAACGAGACTGTTAGATACGGGTGGAGTTAGGTAAAACATACACTTGTACATTAAAATTGGTGTAATATTAACTGGAGGATAGTGTGACTAAATATACTTCATGTGCCTGTTAAGTATGTATGTTTTAAGAGAAATTTTAAGACTTATACCCATAAAGATATTTATGAAAATGTTTCCAGAAAGAGCAAAAAGCTGGAAATGATTGAAATGAGTTATAACAGGAGGACTGGTTACTAAGTTGAAATGTAGCTATTAAAAATAATAATGGGAGTCTATTCAGACCTTAGTCTTCAGACTAAAAATGTTAATGACAGAGGTGCATGCAATAGAATTATTGGAGCATATGCTGTGATTGAACTTATAAAAATATTGTCTTGCTGGGTGCAGTGGTGCATACCTCTAGTCCCGGTGGCTCCGGAGGCTGAGGCAGGGGAATCATGAGTTCAAAGCCAGCCTTAGCAACTTGGTGAGGCCCTAAGCAACTTAGTGAGACCCTGTCTCTAAATAAAATATAAAAAGGAACTGGGGATGTGGCTCAGTGGTTAAGCGCCCATGTGTTCAATTCCTAGTACCAGGAAAAAAAAAAATTGTCTCCATGTGAACCAGGACGAGAAAAAGAAAATAGCATGTTGGAATGGAGGCAGGGGGGCAAAAAAATACATACGTGTTTATTTGCATTTCCTGAAATTATTTATCAGTGTACAAAAGTAAGAAACCACTTTTGTTATGTATATTGTGATCTTTGAATGAAATAATTTGAATATAAAATATGTTCAATCTGTGTCTTAGGATTTATTAAAATAAATTGATAGCCAAAAAAAGTGATGAAGATTCTTATACATTATATAAAGAACACAGAATAACAACAGGGAAATATATGCCTGCTACCTTAATGTATCAGATCTGAGTATTTGCTTCATGTTTCAAAAAGATATAGAACATTACAGACACGATTAAAGCCCCTTGGGTCCAAAAAAAATTTTGAAAATTTTGTTTAACATCTTAATTATTTCTGCTTACACTATATTTTAATATTAGTCATTTTCAGAAGGCAGAATCAATAGGTTTTGGTTTCTCAGCTTAGATTAGGGCTTTGTAGGTACGTGGCTCGGTATGCAGATACTGAATTTCTCAGTATAGACACTGGGGCTAGGACCTTAAGTTATCTGATCCTTGGTTTCCTTAAGTATGAAACCAGGGGGAAGGGATCCAGCCTATCTCAGAAGATAAGCACAAAATGAATAGTATCTTAGAGGTTACCATAAGAAGAATTCCAGAGGAGAGTTGGCCAGGCAACCAGGGGAAAAGCTTTGCCGGCATAAAGAACAGCTGGAACAAAAGCCCAGAGGCATGGCCTAGGGAAAATGGCGGGGATCTCAGCTCGCAGGACAGTGGAAAGAAGAGGTCACCTGGCTCAACGGGCTTCTCGAAGCTCTGCTCTCCAGTGTGGGTCCAGCAGCAGCAGCCTTTCCCGTGTTCTTGTGTCTTCTTGCTCCTTTCTCTGCCTTTCAAGACCAACTGTGTTCTTCAGTGGAGACTCCACGGAGCCTACTGTGGCAGTGTTTGTCCCTACCTGCTTCCTCCACCAGACAGATGGCCCTCTGATTTAGACATCTTCCCCCACACCTAGCCTGGAGGCAGCACCTCAGTCCAGGATTGTTCCATAGTAAACGGGGAGGTGGGAGGAGGGCAAAGGCTCTTGCAGGCACCAATCCTCAGACATCTCACAGAAGTAGGCATGCTCCTTGATCCCACAGGAAGGAGGAGTACTTTAAGTACTGTTTTCAAAAATGGTCCACACAATCAATCATTGGAACACGTTCAAAGAAGGAAAGAAGGGAGGATGAAGGAGACCGTGCAGGTCATCCAGCGGTATCCTCGGGGTGGAGGCATCCCCCTCCTCAGTCCAGCCCAGCTAAACTTGCCCTGCTCCCCCTTCTGCTCCCCACATGTTGCATCTTTCCTGAAACTTTGGGACCCAATCCTGATCATGTCTCTCTGTGGAATGTTCAGGCTCTGGGATTCAGAAAAACCAAAAATTAATGGAAGTTGTCCTACTGCTGATGCCAACCAGAGATTGTCCACTGGGTAAGATCCTGGTCAGAGCCCAAGTTTTAAAATCAGGGAAATCCTCATGTCAATAGGAACTGGATAGAGAATAGAGAGTCCTGAAGTTCACATCTGGTGGCTATCAACTGTGGCATAACCAACCGTCCCCAGACTTACCTGAAATAGTATAAACCTTGATTTTGCTTATAAATTGATAATCTGGGTGGTGCTCAATGCAGGCAGTCCTAACGGACACTGCTTTAGATTTCTGGGGTCTTACCCAAAGGATCAGCCTCATAGTGTCATTCTAGATTTTATGTTAGGCTGAAGTCTCTTTCTTCCTTTTTTTTAATATTTATTTTTTAGTTATAGGTGAACACAATATCTTTATTTTATTTTATTTTTATGTGGTGCTGAGGATAGAACCCAGTGCCTCATGCATGCTAGGTGAGCGCTCTACCTGTGAACCACAACCCCAGCCCCTGAAGTCTCTTTCTTAATTTGAGAATTGCTTGCCATCTGGGAAGACTTGGGAATGAAAAACACTTTGATATTTCCATCTAGTAAGTTCTGGTTTCTTGAACTCATTTCTCCTTTTGCATTTTATCATAGCTAGTGAGAAAAGTCAGGTGGCACTTTCAATATTGTGCCTGGAAATCTTCTAAGCTAGATCATCAAAATTACTAGGTACCTTCCTCTGTTTGGTGTTACTCTAGGCTACAGTGTGGCCAAACTTTCTGCCACTATAAAACAAAGATTCCCTTTACTTTGAGATTCCTGTAACATTCCATGGATGTTATAGATTCTCATAACATTTTTGGGGGGTGGGGGGAATACCAAGAATTGAACCCAGAGACCCTTAACCACTGAATCACATCCCTAGTCCATTTTTTAAAAAAAATGTAGTTTATTTTAATTTGAGATAAGGCCTCACTAAGTTGTTTAGGGTCTTGCAATCTGTTGCTGAGGCTGGCTTTGAACTTCTGATCCGCCTGCCTCAGTTTCCCAAGCCACTGACTAGGATTACAGGTGTGTGCCACCATGCTCAGCTCCTACAGCATTTTCTGTATGTTCTCATTGGTAGACTTCTCAAGTCCCTCCAGGCTTTTGCTAACATTCTCTTTGAGGTCCTTTAGGCTGCCTGGTCCCAAAGCCAATGTCATTCATTTTAGAATTTTATGACAGTAACTGACCTCTGGGTACAATTACTTATTGAGGTTATCCATTGCTGCATAACAATCTACCCCAAACTTGTCTTAAGACAACAGTTATCAATTTTACTCATCTGAACAGTCTCAGCAGAGTCAGCTGATTTCTGTGACATGTGGCATCAACTGGTGGCTTGGCTGGGCAGGAGAATCCACCTCAAAAGGGTTCACTTCCATGCTGGCATTTTGAGGTTGATGGTTGCTTCCTCTCTCTGGGGGCCTCCCAATGGGACAGACTGGACTTTCTCACTGGAGATTGGGTTTTAAGAATAAGCACCCGGAGGACTCACACGGAAGCAGCCAGTTTCCATTGGCCAGGCAGTCACAGAGAACGAACGAACGTTTCAAAGTCACATCTTAAGAGGAACATGTGGGATGGAATGTATTGCTAGAATCAACTTTGAACAATACAATCTGCCACAGAATTCTTGTTCTTAGAAGTTTGGATTATGGTTTATAGCCACTGGGGGGCTGTAACTATCAATTCCCAACATGATCATTGAGTTTTATGCTTCCTGAATGTGTTTGTGACCCAGAAATAAAGCTGACTGCACCCAGTGTTGGTTTCAGAAGGTGCATCTGGCAGCAGAGCTGACTGAACGCCGTGTGTGTGTGTGTGTGTGTGTGCGTGTATGTGTGTATGTGTGTGTGTATATGTACACCTTCCATTCATCACTTTGTCCTGTGTCCCTCAGCTGCTCAGTTCCTGCCCCTGTTTGTCTGTCTCACCCCAATGCCCCCAGTTTTCTCCTTCACTCACTCTTCCTCTGCCAGAGGCAGGTGCAGCTAGCAGTTGACACACACTCTGGAGCTCGACTGCTTGGTTAACTCACAGCTCTGCAGTTCGCTAGGTGAGTGCGGCTCTTGGCAATTTCCTTAGGTCCTTCCCTGAATTCAGTCTTCCTATTATAGGATGGGACGAACCGCATGTCAGTGTCCTTTCAAAATTCATATTCTGAACCCTAATTCCTAAGATAACGGCATTAAGAGGTGGGGTCTTTGGCAAGTGATTTGGTCCTTTGGAATCTGCCCTCTTGTTTGGGATTAGTGCTCTTATAAAAAAGGACTGAGAGAGCTCTTTGCCTCTTCTGCCATGTGAGGATACATAGAAAGTTCCATCTATGCAGAATGGAGCCCTTATCAGAAGCTGAATCTTCCGGGGCCTTGATCTTGAACTTCCTAGCTTCCAGAACCATGAGCAATTTCTGTTGTTTATGAATTATCCAGTCTAAGGGATTTTGTTATAGCAGCCCAAGTGCACTAGGGCAGCACCGTCTAGGGGGGTCACGAGGATGGGTTGAGTTGGTACATTCAGACCAGGACTGATTATCATTCCAGTCCATCTTTGAACTTTGGTCACTATTTCTGCCCCACCCCATTCTACCTAGGCTATGACATCTCTTATGGAGGATGCCCTATATTTTAAAATTCTTCTTATTTAAAATAAGAGTGGATTTTAAGAAAATCATAGTTTCTTACATTTGTTCAGCATTGTTACTCATAAGACAATTTCACAACCATTCCCACATTTACTATTGATAACTATCTATAGTAGGCAGAATCCTAAAATAGCCCCAAATACCTGTCTGTGCCTTGCAGAGTCCTGGGACTCTGACTAGGATGGATTTTAATCCCATGCTTAGGTTAAATTAGAAGGCACAGTTGAAAGGGAGATTGTTATGATTTAGATATGAGGGGTCCCCCAAACTCTTCTGTGTTAGGCAGGAATGTTCAGGGGTGTAGTGAGGAGATTGTGAGGCCTGTAACCTAATCGGTCCAGCCTGGTTGGAACAGCCTGGGTGGTAACTGTAGGCAGGCGAGTGTGGCTGAAGGAGGTAGAACACTGGGTCCTGCCTGGGAAGGGTGCATCCTCTGTGAGGCCTCTTCCTCTCTCTCTGCTTCCTGACCCTGCCAGGAGCTGAGCAGCTGTCTCCTGCTGGGCCTGTCCCCATGATGGGCTGCCTCACCTTGGTCCCAGAGCAATGAATTTAGCCATCTACAGATTGAGACTGAGATACTGTAGCCCCAAATAAACTTTTCCTCCTGTAAGTTGTTCTTGTTGGATATTTTGGTTACCATAATACCAAACCCAACTAAAACACAAGTTATCTGGGTAGCACTGACTTATCCCATGAGCTCTTTCAATTTGGATCTGGAGGTCAGTGATAGGGTGGACTTGAGATCTGAGGTCGGAGAGGGATTTGACCTGAGGGAGCGGAGCCATTGCTGGCTTTGAGGATGGGGGAGATAATGTGGCAGGGAATGCAAGTCTGGAGGAGCTGAGTGGAGCCCCGGCTGTTGGAGTCTCAGCCCTGAGGAACTGCACTGTGAGCTTACGGTGGACCCTGAGCTCCAGGTGAGCTTGCAGCCAGCTGGACCTTGATTTCAGCCTGGTGAGAAGCTGGGAAGAGACCCCGCTGTGCTGTGTCTGGACTCCCCTTCTGCATGACAGTCAGATGGCAACCGCACCTAGCTTCAAGCTGCTGGATTTGGGGCAATTTTTCACCCATCACTAGATGACTGTACTCACTTTCTCCGGCTGCCCCGATAAATGATCACAAACTTGGTGTCTTTAAACCACAGAGGTCTATTCTTTCATGGCCCTAGAGGCCAGAAGTCTGAAATTAAAATGTTCTCTCTTCCAGGTGTTCCTTGTCTTTCTCCTCCTCCTGTATCTGTGGCTCCTCTTCTGTATTTTTATAAGAACATCGATTATTGGATTTAGAGACTGCCTGGATAATTCAGGTGATGGACTCATCTCAAGAGCCTTAATTTAATTACCTCAATAAAACCTCTGTTGTCAATAAGATCACTTTCACGGGATCTGAGTATCAGGATGTGAACAAATCTTTTTTTTTTTTTCCTGGTACTAGGTCTTGAATCCAGGGGCGCTTAACCATTGAGCTACATCTCCAGCCCTTTTTTTGTATTTTATTTAGACAGGGTCTCATGGAGTTGCTTAGGGCCTCACTAAGTTGCTGAGGCTGGCTTTGAACTTGCGATCCTCCTACATCAGCCTCTGAGCCACTGGAATTATAGGCATGCACCACTATGCCTGGATGGAAAGTCTTTGAAAACACCATCCAATCATCCAAATCTATTGCAGTAACTAATACTGAGATAGCTCTTCTTATCACCTTTTTTTTCTTTTTTAAACAAAGAGGACTTTGCAAGTGAATATGCTTGTTTTCAAATTCAAGTGCAGTGGATTCTCATTGTTCCACAGATGTCTGTCTCTTTCACAGCATTTAGCACAAGGAGGGGCAGAGGCTAATTCTGAATAAATACTTGTCGATTAATTGAAATTCCAAATTAGTCCAGTGTGAAGTTGTGTTCAGGAAGAGATTCAGTGTTGAGGGGAAAATTATCACTTCTGCAAGTTCTTGGAGTCTGTGTAAAGAGGCCTAAGTTGATGAATATTACCATTCTTGATTAAAATGATGAAGGGTCCTTAGGAAACTACAGGCTGGGAAACTTTCCAAAGAGACACTTTCCCAAAGGACCAGTGATAAGAAATAGAAGTGTAGTTGGCTTAATGTAGCTTGGAAGGAAGCTGACCTGGGATGGAGTCCAGCCAGTGGCCCTGAGTAAGTCATTGAACCTTTGTGCCCTCCCCTGCTCTGTGCATATGACAGGCCAGTGTTTTAAAGACAGACTAAGATGATGGTAGTAATAATGGCCTTCGAGGTGGCAAATTCTGTTCCACTCATAGTCATTTATGCCTCACAACCACCTATGAGGTAGATATTAATATTATTCCCATTTTACAGATGGAGAAACTGAAATAGTGGTAAGGTCAAAGGTCAACAGCTACCAATCGTCCTGGCGCAGTCAGGATTTGAACTCAGATGTGTGGTTCCAGAATTCACCTTCTTTTTTTTTTTGATATTTTAAATTTTTTTTTAGTTATAGGTGAGCATATCTTTATTATTTTTTAAATTTTAATGTGGTGCTGAGGATCAAACCCAGTGCCTCACACATGCTAGGCGAGCGTTCTACCACTGAGCCACAACTCCAGCCCAGAAGTCACCTTCTTAACCATTACACTGTTATCTTTAAGGTAATAGGATCCCAGCAAGTGACATAGAACAAGGATTTAAGATAAGAATTGTGTTTTATGTAATTGGTGATGCTGAAAATTGTCCAGGAAAGGTGTTGGGTTTCCCCTCAGCCAGGCCAAGAGGGATGGGCAGGAGACTGAGAGGGAATGAAGTGGCGCCTACCTCTGGCCCTCACGGCCTCCAAGGTGGGCAAGGCAAGGTGACCAGCAGGGGACTACCACACAGCTTCACCTGCTGCTGGCCTGGTGAAGAGTCTGGTGGAGGAGATGCTGCGACTGCATCAGGGGAGGAGAATCCTGGGAAAGGTGGTCCAGTCCCACTGGGGCACAGTACAGTCGTTGGACACTCAGACACAGAAGTGTCCAGCGGGGTAAGCAGACCATTTTGTTCTTTCCTTGTGGCTTGATAAAGATTGCTCTTTTCTTTCCTGCCATTCTGGATGGGGGAGCGATGAACAAGTAAGTCTACGGGTCTGGAGGTGAGGCTAGGGTTCTAGAGGTTAGGGCAGAGAGGGGTTCAATGATGGTGGGAGGGATGGAGGTGGGGAATCCAGTTTCTTCATAATCTCCATCTTTTCCCCAACCCCTCAAGTAAACATATCATAAAAATGTGGGCGATGCTTCAAGACAAGTCTTTTAGTGACTCCCTCTCCTCTACCCATCAAATTATGATCTCTAATGTGTCCTATGCAGAAAATCAAATGATGCTCCCATTGGGTGAGCTGGTGGAGTCTCAAGGCTGAGTCCATATCAATAGGCTGGGGTTTCTTCCTGGAGCAACAGGGGTAACTGGGAGATGAAGGTCTTGAATGCAGGAGAAGGTCTAATACAGGGGAATGGGTTGGGTGGGGATGATGGGCTTCCAGGTGGGGATCTTGAAACAGAGAGCTCAGACCAGGGGGCAATGAGTGCAGGAATAAGCAGAGAGTGAGGAGGGACAATAAATGTCCTGCATGAGGAACTGGGACCCGAGCTAACTTAGGAAAAGCAGGTGTGGTGTGCAGGAGGGTCATGCCCAGGGCTGAGAGCACAGGCACACCACACTCCGGGGAATGGGAGAGAAGACCAAGCCTAGTGAAGGTGAATGTCATTCCTGGGCACATCTCTCTGCCATCAATAGTGATTACCCTGTTCTGTCTTCCCATGAGACACACCCAATTACTCTTCTGAGGGTTTTGCACACGTACCTTAATCCTCTCCTTAACTCCAAGTTGGGGATTGTCAATGGCATCTTACACAGAGCAGTTAGGTGTGGCTACGGCAGGTCCCCGTGCAATTGGTGATGCTGGATTTGAATCCTGCCTATCGAATTCAAAGCTCCTATTCTCCTTAGCCCAAGGAGCACTATAGAATGAGCTGGAAGTTTGAACTTTGAGGCCTTTGAGGTGTTGGCTTTGAAAGTCTATGAGATTCTTGGCAATGTGAGGTTGGGTCTTTAAAAGAAAAAACACACACATTTTCAAATATTTAATTGAATTTCTTAGGATCTGAGCAAAGGATTGAGTTGTTTCTTTAAAAACGAAGCCATCCTTTAAAGGCTGTGTCATTATAGTCTTTCCTCTTGAAGCCTTTCAATCTCAAATTCAAAGTAAAATGATAACAATAAACTCTGACTTTCTAGAAATCAATTGCAATCGCCTCTTTGTTACTTTAATTGAACCGCTTCACAATTATTCAGGTATTTTTATTTTAAATAAGCATGTCCTCCTCCTCTCACACAACTATTCTGATTCTTCTTTTGAGAAGAAAAACAGATCCTCAACAGTATTTTGGCTCAAATCAAAGCAAGCCCGAGAATGAAGGGTTGGGACTGGTGGCCCTTCTGAGATGTATGTCCTTCTGCTGGGACCCAAGCTTGGGGGGCCAGGAGGGGGTGCCAGAAACGGAGCCCAGGGAGCCCAGGGTCCCCTGGCTTTGTCTCTTTATTTCTTAGTCACTGTTCTGTTCTCTTAAGCAATTCTGCATTCAGATGTGGGTATGCTGGACTGTTTCTTGCCTGACAAAAATACAGCCTGTATAAGCAGAATTCTTTGCCTTGGGGCACCTGCCAGCCATGGTGGGCCAGGGCGTGTGTCACTATTGTGGGAACTGAGGGGACATTCTCTCACTCCACAGATACTTTCTGGATGTAATTTGCCCCAGGCCCTCTTCTCTGTGCTCAGGAAGGACCAGCCATGAACAGCTCTGGCCAACTCTCTGCCCATCTGGAGCACATACTCTAGATGAGCAGAGAAATCCATCGAGTTACTTATAGCTCTCATCCTCGATTCAACTGCCACATGGATTGTCACAGGATACAGCTGCAGTATAGCGCTCCTGTGGGTGGGGAGAGTGTGAGTCGGAGAGGCCTCCTCTGGGCCGGCCATGGCCCCATCTCACCCTCACTGCAGCAAAAGGCAGAACGTCTTGTCTTGCCATTCATTGTAAGGCGCTCCCGAAACTCCTTCTCCTCCCATCCTCCAGGGCTTCCTGCGTAGGTGGCCCTGACAGTTTTCCTAGCCTTTCTCTCTGCTTCCAGGGCTAGTCCTTGGGTCCCACTATGCACTTCCTTCTTTAAGAAAGGGAACACTGCCTTCCAGGACCCCTAACAGGGAAGGGTCTGTAAACCTGCAGGTGTGAGCACTCTCCTGCTTCCTTTTCCTGTCTGGCCTGTGTCCCACCTAGGGCTGCAGTCCCCAGCAGCTCTGGTGTCAGAAGGGGGTCACTGGTGACATAGAGAGGAGACAGAGACTTTGTTGGCACAGATACTGGAATGCTGCCGTTAGCAGGAGAAACACGGGTTCTTGAAGCCACTTCACATGGAAGCCTGGCAGAGAGGCTTTCTCCATTTCCCACTCCCACCCTGAATGCCCTGAGGGTGCAGCTGGGTGGCCCAGACAGACAGCCTGACCAAGAGCCGGAGGCATAGGGCTTAGGACCTCTTGGGGAAGGACAAGTGTGTCTGGTAGAGAGACTGAGGACAAATCTGTTGTGGCAAGGTTGATGGAGTCACCAAGCCATCAGCCCATGCTTCCTGTCTGACCTGGTGGCTGCATCCTCCGACCTCACCCGCCACCCTCCGAGTGGGGGCAGCCCAGGGCTAACAGGCAAGATGCTCTGAGCCAGGCTCTGACAAGAAGGCCTCGATTGTTGGCAGCTAAGGTTTTCTATAACAGCTTCCATAGCAACCAAGGAGATCTGGAGAAGCAGCTGAGAACTCCTGGTTGCTTAGCAAATGCTTGCTGTTGGCGAGGTGGCAGCCACTCTGCACCTGCCTGCAGTATGAGAGGAGGCTGGGGCAGCCACGGCCTGGCTCACCGGGGGCTCGGGCTCTGCAGCCTGCCTCCCCCTCCTTCCACAACTCTGGCTCTATCTCCCAGGGGGAGGGGACCCCAGTGAATATTCCATCCTGTGAGTTCAAGATGGAACAGCAGCCTCTTTGTCCCACCTTGGACTGAGGCGTGAGCCTGGGTATGTGGGGAGGGTCTGGGGACGGAGGGAGTGCTTGTGTGGTGGGGAGGGGTGGTGCAGACAACTGGAGCCCAGGTTGCCTGGTCTCAGGTGCTGCTGCTTGTGATCGGGATCCCACATCCTTGTTGAGTAAGAGCTCCAGCCTGACATTTGGAATCTGGGGACCTCACTCTTGTGATGCCCTGTGACATCAGGGCAGGTCAGACGTGGGGAGAGCTGGGTGGGTGGCCATGGAGCCAGCTGACAACCAGTCAAGAAGTGACCACTGAGCCAGTAGCTCTTGCCAGTGGTCTCTCCTCCTCCTCCTCCTCCTCCTCCTCCTCTTCCTCTTTCTCCTCCTGATCCTAGTATTCAGTGTGCCACGTACTTGGTTGCTGGGAGCCATTAGCCAAGTAGGTATGACAATTTCCTTGCCAGCGTACCCCATGTTGCTGACATGTTGCAGTGACATTGAATGTAGGTGACCTTGCTCAAGGACCAAGGCAGACCAGGGTGTTCCCGGTTTTAAGATAATCGTGTTTAGGGCGTTCCCAGTTTAGGTTCCAGGTTTAAGGTTTAAGATTATTCCTGCTGGGAATAGGGCGTATCCTGCTGCCTGAGTTCCCCTTGAGTTCTCACGGGATTCAGACAGTATATTTTGGGAGATAGAAGCCCAGTGGAGGAGGATTTGGGCAGAGAACGTGGATTTCCCCAGAACGTGATTGTAGACGGCTGGTGTGAGTTCGGGAATAAAGAGTTGCTGTTTGAGTCTACAAGCTGTGTGGTGGCTCGTGATTGTGTGCCCAGCCAGACTGCGGCATTTGTGCCCAGCCAGACTGCGGCATTTGGCGTCCCGTGCGGGGAACTTCTGAAGCCTGGAGGTAAGTGAAATTTCTCACCCTTGAGGAAGAGAGAAAGAATGGGTGACCAATTCAAAAAACAATGTGTTCTCGTTTTGATTTATTTTGTTTTTATTTCAAGTTGCCTGTTCCTAGAACTTTCTCAGGCAAACTGGGGAAAATGGTTGACTCAAGGTTTGAAGTTATTCGCCTCTGAGCAAAAGAAATTGTTAGAGAAAGGAGGCACCCCAGTAAGACCAAGAACAGTTAAGGCATATGTTGATAAAATACAAAAATGTGGCAAACGGCTTTTTAAAGATGAGTTATTAAGTATATTAATGAGACCATCATGGTATCCTGTAGAAGGATTTTTCTTCAACAAGAAAGAGATGGCTAGTTCTGTTTACTACACTTGTCTAAGATCTTGGTTTTTACAGACATCTGATTAATTTAGAAAGCTAAAGTGTTAAAATATCAACCACTAAATATGAAATCAAGTACTCTTTACTTATAAGTTCCATAAGGTAATATATTTAAACATTATGTGTGTTTTCATAAATTGGTAAATGGAAAAAGGTTTAATATTGCTTTGTGTCTGTGTCTTTGCTAAAACAAGGTTACTAAGAGTTAAGATTCTATCATGTGTAATTTATATACAAAGAGTAGAAAAATTTTCAGTTGGGTTTCAATCATAGTATTATAGTACCATAAAAAAAAAATGAAAGTCTTTCATCTTATTAAAGTGGAGTAATTTGTCTAAATCAGAAATTTTATAAGAGTTGTTTCAGAATGTGAATTTATAAAAAGGGTTAACGGTTAAAAAAGAGATAGGTCATAAAGCCTCTGTCAGCCTCAGTTTCCTAAATTGCTAGTGTCTGCCCTGGCTCTGGCTTCCTTCCTCCTCCAGCAATCATTCTTATCCCCCAGTCTCTCCAAGGAGAAGGGTCTGGAAGGTCATGCTGGGAGGGCAGCAGACAGCAGGAGAGAGGCCAGAGCAGACAAGTGGCCTCATTCACTGGACAGCCTCCACAGCCCGTGTCCCACACTTAAGAGTCCCCAGATGCTTGACATTCACCTCCCTTGAGGTTCCCTTGAGGCAGGAACCAGGTGGACTCTGCCTCATTAGTGCCAGTCCCTACAGGCAAGGGAGAGAGCAAGGGCTCTCTGCTCTCGGCCGCCTCTCAGAGCCAGGTGAGGTGGACTGCTGTGATTCTCAGGAAAGTCATTCATTCAAACCACAGTGGGTGCCTGGGGAGTAGTTAGTCACGTAAAGCTGTGACCTGTTCCCGTGTGACCTGTTCCAGATCTTGGGATGTAAATGAGGAAAATCATACACGTGACTTAATAAAACCCAGTGTTAGCCTAAAGGGTATCCTTCATAGCTAGCACTGCCCCCTGCTCACTGACCACCGTGGTGACAGAATGGCTTCCCGAGCTTCAGTTTCCCTGTATATAAAATTGAGATCATGGAACCTATTCTGCGGCTTATTAGGAGGATGCGGCAGTACTGCCATGTTGAGCCTGTAGAAACTCCCTGACAGCTATGACCTTCTGCCTCATGAAGGGCAGCCACTGGTATGAATCTGGAACCTGATTTATAGCCACATCCCACCTGACCCTGACCTGTGCTTTGCTCTAGGAAGATGGTCCTGAACTGGGGTGGTCCATCACGGATGCCAGGGAAGCCAGCGGCCTGAATTTTGATGATGGCCCTTCTGTCCTCCAAAATATTGCCTCCTGAAGCCCAGAGTTTCAGGGTCCTCCGACTCCCCCCTTCTGCTTCACTTTCACCCCCTGCCTTGAGGGCACTGGCTCTACCACAGTGTGAGTGGAGAGCTGTCCCAGGCCACCCAGGGGAGCTGGACTGGACCCCCGGCTCTTGTTTCTGACTGTAGGGTTCTTCTTACTCAGTAGCACCCCCTCTGGGGAGGAGTTTCACAATCCTTTGGAGTTACTGATGTCCCAGTCCTCCATCCATCTTTCTTTCTTTTCTTTTCCTTCCTTCCTTCCTTCCTTCCTTCCTTCCTTCCTTCCTTCCTTCCTTCCTTCCTTCCTTCCTTCCTTCCTTCCTTCCTTCCTTCCTTTGCCAGGGATTGGTTACATGGTGCTTAACCACTGAGCCACATCCCAAGCCCTTTTAGATATTTTATTAGACACAGCGTCTCACTGAGTTGCTTTAGAACCTCGCTAAGTTGCTGAGTCTGGCTTTGAACTCGCAATCCTCCTGCCTCAGCCTCCCAAGCGGCTGGGATTAAGGTGTGTGCCACCATGCCTGGCCCAGCCCTCCATCTTTTGTTCTACAGACTTTCCCTGCATGGTGACTGTGAGCTGGGCAAACCTCCCCACTCTCCGGTGCTGGGTAAGGAAAACAAACCAAAAAAGAAAGCCAGTGTGTGGCCCTGGGGCCCAGAGGCAGCTCACGAGTGGCGGAGTTAGAATTTAAAGCTGCGTGCTTCAGTCAAGGGCTCCGATGTGCACGTCACCTGTTAAGACTCAGGCTCACAAAAGACACGGAGGAAACCTAATGCACATGACCAGGTGGAAGAAGTCAATCTGAGAAGCCTAGTTTTATGATTCTAACTCTACGGGGGTCTGGAAGAAACAAACTGCAGAGGATAAGATCAGTGGTTGCTGGGTCCAGGGGAAGGGAGGGAGGATGAATAGGCAGAGCGTGAGGACTTTTAGGCCAGTGAAACTCTTTGGTGTGAAACTCTGGCAGTGGATTTGTGTCCTTATACATTTTGCACAAACCCACAGAAAGTAACACCAACAGGGAGCCTCATGAAAACTAGGGGCTTTGTGTGAGGCTCATGGCGTAGGGCCATTGTTTGTGGATAATGGGGGACACTGTGGGGATAGGATGTATGTGGGATCTCTCTTTATTTTTCTTTCATTTTGCTGGGAAACTAAAAAAAAAAGCCTTTATGTTTTTTGAAAAAGCCTATAAATAAAAGATCTGGGGTTTCTCCACCCACAGCTCAGATGATCCTACTGATGGGCCCAGGACCCTGAGGAGGGGCAGCCCTGGGCAGCCTTGGAGAGCTGTGAGTCCCCACCCCTAGACATCTCAGGACGCTCATTGGCCAGCCACATGGCAAGATCTCTGCTGTGGATCCCACATTACTTTCTTTTACTACTAAAAAACGAAAAACCAAAACCCCAAAACCAACACTGGGAGTAAATTTGGTGGCTGTGAAATTTCAAAAGGCTGGGAGGCATTTCCTTGAACACAAAGTCATAACGTGGCCCCTGACCCGCCCAGCATGGCACACGGTTGGCATCAGGGGCCTGGTTGTACCTCAGCAGAAAATACATTCAACTCGCCAAAGCCTGGTCAGCACTGCCTAGAAAGATCACAGTGGGCTTCACAGAGGAGGCGACCTTGAAGAACCAGGAGGCACGGATCTGGGCTGGACATGGGGGAGTGAGGAGGCCAGTCGGGTGGAATGCAGGGGACAGGCAGAAGGGCAAGTCAGAGGCCCCTAACCTGTAGGACAGCTCGATTTGAAACTTGCTGCAAGGGGTAAGTAAGTGATCACCTGACGGAGCCCTGAGGCATGCTCAGGACTGGGGATTATGCTGGGGATGCTGCCTCGCAGGAGACGGAAGCCGTGGCAAGTTTAGAATTCACTTTCCACCAGAGAGGCCAGCCTTTGTGGCCATCTAGATGGATTTCAACTCCCATCAGCCACCCCTGGCATGAGAAGGTCCTTACAAATCTCAGGAGACTGGACTTGGAGGGTCCTTTACCAAGGTCTGGGCAGCTTCTTGAGGCTACGGTGGCTCTGCTGGTCCATCACCCCCATTCTCAGGTGCCTTTAATTTCCACTCCCAGCAGCTCCAGACCTTTGGGACTGCATCTGGGAGCCAGCCCCGGGCTCAGGGGCCCTCTCCCAGCAGGACACTGACAGAAACATCTCACAGGCCAGAGAGCAAGACCTCTTGTTGCCACTAGTCACCCTTCTCCCCGTGGCTTCTCTTCAAAACAATAACTGTTGTTTTTCAAGGAAGACTCCATGGCCCATGGAGCTGTGGACACTTTGGCAGGCCTGAGTCATTAGGGCTGGGCCCTGAAGCCCTGGTGTCCCAGGAGGCTCCAGCACATCAGCCACAGGCGATGACAGCCCTGGTCCTAGTGTCCCAACCTCTGGGCCTGCAGAAGCATATGTGTGTGTGTGTGTGTGTGTGTGTGTGATTTGTGGGCCTCTGTTATATACAGACAGAGGCTCTTGTCTGGCCTTCACCCTGTGTGCCTGAGCCTCCTCAAGACTGATCAAGTTCAAGCCTTGGAGTGGGTGTGGGAAGAATCCATTCCTTTCTTCCTTGGAGAGCCCCCAGACCAGAGCCCCCTGACCGTTAGCCATGGCAGATACAGGGCCCATGGTTTATAAGCTTTGCAAGAGCCTGCAAAAAATGTTTGTGGCCTAAAAAACATATTTGCTTCAAAATAGATAAATAAAACATGAAATTTTAAAAATTTAAAACAGGTTTAATTGGAAGTCTTCATAATATCAATATTCAGCCACAACTCAACTGAGGTAGAATTATAAACTTAGTCTTAGGGAAACCTGGTGATCTATAGATTTTCCCTTACTGTGCAATAAATCAAGCAGTTTCTTTTGAAAGGGTGGTTTTCAAGGTAAGAGTGAATGGGCCTGTGAAACACTTAAAATGACCTCAGAGTTCAGGCAAGACCCAGGCACGGGTCACTGGCTTCTGCTTCGTGCTCTGAATGCAAACGGGTTTGCTCTGCTGCAGTCCCCGCTGTCATTCGGCTGAAATTATCATAAAATCATTTCCAAATACGCTGCAGTCAGCATCACAGAATGCGCCAGTGTCCTCCGACCTCAGCCTCGATGCTCTCACCTGTGACTGCGACTTCCAGAATCATAACCCAACCGCCACTGCTGCTCCCCCTCCCTGCCGGTCCTGGTACCATCACTAACTGCTGTTGCCAAAACACCGTTGAAGCTTTGATTGTCTTTTGCTCACATGTGAACGATGCTTCCTACCAATGAACTCACTTGACCTTGCTCACACTCTGTGAGGCGGCACATCACGGCTAATGGGGGCCATCTGGGACACACGCCATTTAGCACGCGCCGCCTCCCAGGGAGACGTGGAGCGGGTGTTCAGGCTGTCTTTAAGGCTCGGCCCCATCTCCCCGACCAGAACCCGGTCCTGTTTCTCACCCTAACTGCGGGGGAATGTGGGGATCTAGGGGAGCACTCAGCGCCGTAGAGAGACCCACTATCTCTGCAGCAGACAAGGCCAGGGTGTGCACCTCTAGAAAGACCAAAAGCCCAGCGCCCTCGGCAAGGTGGGGTAAAGGTGGGGCAAAGGTGGAGCACAAATTATGGGCTCCTGGGGGGGTGCCCTGCTTTGGCTTGGCTCCCTGGTACTCTCTGTGCTTCTGCCACTCCTGTTCACTTGAGCAAGGCCCTCAGGCAGGTATTGGAGCTCCTGTTAGGAGGGAGACAGCTGCTCAGACACAGGAAGTGCCTGTCGGAAGTCACTCAGTGGGCGGCTCTGCAATCATCACCAGAGCCCCTCTGACCACTCTCCTAAGCAAGGACTTAAGGCAACAGATGTGGCCCATCAGTCTCCCCTCTGCAGAGCCCCAATTTTTTCAGGTGTTAGGTGGGCATGTACATAAAGGTAAGTTCACCTTCCTGCACTACCTAGAAGACTAATGTCTAGGAACCAATGCTATTTCTCTATTAATTTTTTTTTTAAATAAAGGAATAGGCATATGATGAAATTCAGCAAACAATTATGGCAACTCTGCTAGGGCTAGGTTTTCTAAAAGGGTTTTTCACTCCTAAAAGGAAACACAAGGAAGGGACAGGATCTACTGCAGCCAACTTGTGACCATGAGGGGACAAGTCTGAAAATAAAAATCTGTCATAGAGGATGGCAGAATGAAAAAACAAAGCAAAAGTTCACGATAAAGTCATTAAGTTGCTGAATTAACTCATCCTGGAATTATCAAACCTCGGGACTTATTATGCAACGTAAATTTAGTTTCATTTTTTACTTTTAGTTTTGTAATTTTTTTTTTATTACTTGAGCTACATTTAGTTGTGTGTTTTGCCTGCAGCCGAGAACAATCAAAATGATTCAGTGACAAATATTCCCTTTATTCTGGGTCTTTGCCCAAGTTATTTCCATCAACAAAAATGGGAATATTTTCTTATCCATCTGGTGAACTTGTCCCTAAAAATCAGCCCAGATGTTGCTTCCCATAGGAGTCCTTCGCTGAACCCTGTCATCCAATGGGTGTAACGTTTCTCTCTCTGTGCTATCGAGTCCATATTAGCTATTGTTACTCCAGGCCTGTCACTTGCTCGTCACCTCCCCCTCTCCACCACTACCTGTCAGAAGTGGGGTTTTATTGTCTCTGTTTCTACAGCCCTTAGAAGAGCCTTGCACAGAACAGACCTCAAGAAGGAAGTTTTGAACGGAATCGAGTCCAGTGGCACAGGCACGAGAGGTCCGTGAACTATGAAGCAGGACACAATACAAGGTGGCGTTGGGTTGATGAATTGAGGCACTGAAGTGCCGATTGCTTTTTAATGGGCTTCATTCAATTAAACAGATACTTAGCTGTTGACGTACCTCTCTGTGCAGCCAAAGGAAAACCATGGCGTTCTGACAATATCCTTCTCCCCTTCCAAAAGCGATTTTGAGGACAAGATCACAGCCGTGCTGTTTCCCATCTCCCCAGATGGCAGTGAGTGGACCTGGAGGGGACCCCTGGGCCGCCTGCATTAAGTCCAGCTCTGCGTTTGCTGGGTGGGGCGCGTCCTCATGCTCTTCATCATCTGTTCGGTGGCAGAACCCTTTGCCAGTCCCCTCGAGGCTCCTGAGAGGCCAAGGCGAGGACAACCTCTCTGTGCACTGTCACAGGCTGGGAATGCCTCCTCCGTGGAACTCCCAGCATCCCCCAGGGCTGCTCCCAGGCCCATCCGTTCCAGCAGCGTTGATGCTTTGGCGGGGGCTGTGTGGACCCCCACCCCTCAAACCAATTCCCAACTGTAGGAACTGCCTCTAGCGCAGGCACCGAGCCCTCCCAGGCAACGGAGCAGTCAGTGCTCGCAGATGACACCTCTTCCCTCGGGCTCCTGCACTCGGGCCACTACCCACCTGCCCGGCTCACCCCAGGGCTAGAAGTGGACAACAGAGGGGCAGCCCCTGTGCCCCAGAGCCCACTGAAATCATTCAAACTGTTCCAAAAGCTCAGTCCTTGTCCCCAATGCCAATCTAATAACAAGGATGAGGTTTTGAGAAAAAGGGAAAAGAAGGTTTATTGCTTTGCTAGCAGAAGAGAAGCACAGGGGACTCCTGTCCCGGAGGCTGTGATTCTGCCATCAGGGAGAACCAGGGGCATTTACAGAGGTGATCAGAGAAAATGAGATTAGGGAGGAGAGATCAGCAAGGAGAAGATCAGGGAGGAGGAGGTTGGGAAAAAGGAAAAAAAAAAAAAAACATGTAAGTTTAAGCCACAAGGGAGATAGTCGAAGCATCAAGTGAAGCCCTGTTGTAGCCCTGCATGCTCCATGGGTCCCCTTCTCTTGGGAAATATAACAAACTACCCCTTCAATGGCAATCATCTTTTTATCTGTTGCCTGCATCTTACTTGAATAATAAAAAAATCTACACTTAAAAACAGCCTTTAAACCAGGAAGCTAGTGAGTGTGTATGTGTGGGGGTTGGTGAGGAGTCTCTTCTTCGGGAACTGGCCCAAAGAGACACTAGCAGGGAGCGTGCGGGGTGTTGGCCCCTGCAGCAGCCCAGCCAGCAGAGAGGCAAGGACCAGATCAACAGTGTCCCTTGTTCTGATGGCCTCCTAGACTGGTTGATAATCTAGCAGGACTGGGAAGGAAGGGAGTTCTGGGTGGGAATGTGATACTTTCAAATGCGTGAATCAGTACATGGGATGTGCCATGGAGTGCAGGTTACGATCCCCTTGACATTTGACCAGAGGTCTTAGGAATGAAGGGAAGTGGGCACCAGAATTTCTAAGCGGATCTTCATGCTAAGAGCCAAAGGCTGTGCCTTGGACTCACACTGCCCTGGGAGTATGGACTTGGAGGGTCCTGAAAACCCCTCTTAAAGGGAAGGAGAGTATTGGAGTCCTTTCCAGCCCCAGCAAGAGGCCGGTGGCTGCTCCTTTTCCTGAGTGGCAGTTTCTTCAGGGAGGAGGCCTGAATTGGCCTGAGGTTAACGCTCAGCAGAGGCTCGGGGGCCTCTGCTCCAGGGGATGAAGGAGAAGTGGATGGGGGGCAGTGGGAAAGGCTGGCAGGGGCTTCTGGTCTCTGGGGTTTTGGCTCTCAAGGGAACATGAATCTGGCCTGCTCTCCTGCCCCTTGGTGGGGGCCTTTCTGGATCCTGGAAGCGGAGGTGGAGCTATTTGGCAAAAGTTTAAGCACAAGCCTCCTAAACAAAGGCTACCACTGAGTCATCTGCTCCTGGACCTTTGTTGTTAGTGTCAACCTGAATGATGATTTGGAGTCGAGGTTCAGGAACTGAGCTCATCTGGGCCTCGGCAATCCCAAGCCAAATTTAAAAGCATCTATTGCTTCTTAAAGTGGCTTATCCTGGTTCCGAAGGGTCCCCTCCAGATGCCAGCCTTTGGGGCTTGCAGGACTGGCCTTCCACGCCACAACTGTTTCTGTGGCACTGGACTCGGGGCTCCCTCATCTTCGCCCCAGCACCCTGGCCGTGCCCCCTGTCCTCAGAGATGGCCGAAGCCCTTCTGGAGCCTGTGCCAGGGATGAGCACCCGGCTCGGTCCCAGTTTCAAAGTGCATCCTTGGAGGGGAATAAACATGTTCTAATCAAAACAAAACACTTCCAAATGGGAGTTTCCTGTTGGGACTTCCTGGCAGCTCCCACGGCAGTTGTGATGATGGAAACACTCACTGAGTTTCTTCTTCTCGAGGGTGTGGAGGGCCTATGACAAGATGGCCTTAATTTCCTCTTTCTGGACAGGGACCACACCTGAAGTTGTCAGAGGGGGTGGCCTGAAGTCAGCTGGTCAAACCCTGTGCCGGTACCCGGCAGGGGGCACTGACAACTGTCTACTGACTGTCTTGGTCTGGGGGCTCCTAGAATAACGTGTAAGTGGAAGGCTGAGAGTCATCCGACATGCCCTTCCTCGTCACACACCACTGGCCACCAAGCCTGTGCTTCTACCTTCTCAAATCTCCCCATCGTGCCCCTCTCAGTTATGGACCCAGATCAGCCTGTTGCTATGACTGCCTGAAAAATTCCACCAGCGTCTTAACGGGCTTCGTTATCTTGCTTCCCCTGCACTGCGTCTCCTACACAGATGCCAGGGCCCTGTGACCATGTCCTGGCCCTGCTCAGAATCTTTCCAGGACTCTCCAATGACCTTCCAGGTGAAGCTGGATCCCCGCAGCTCAGCAAGCAGTACCCTGCCTGCCTCTGCATCTCAGCCCCGGCTTCCCACCTGCGCACCAGCTCCCAAACTGGGCCCAGTTTCCCACTCAGTGTCTCCCTGAATAGACCCATACCTATTACTGGTTGGTCTACGAGGGCTGCTATAACAGCACCATCAGTGCAGTGGCTTGGACGACAGAGATCCTCATGTGGAACTGCTAGAGGCTACACGTCGGAGGTCAAGATGGGCAGGGCCATGCTCCCTCTGAAGGCTTCAGGGAACCTTCCAGGCCTTTCTCCTAACTTCTGGTGGTTGCTGGCCTGGCTGGTTTCTTGTCTGCAGAGGCCCTCCCCTCATCTCTGCCTGTGTCCCCACTGGGCTTCTTTTCTGGGAAGGTGCCTGTGTGCAAACTTACCCTGTTCTGCACAGACACCAGACCTGCTGGCTTAGGGCCCACTCCAGTGATCTCATTTTAATTAGATTCCCTTTATAAAGATCCTATCTCCAAAAAGGTCATATTCTGAGGTCCTAGAGGTTAGAACCTCAATGTGGGAAGGGGACACAACCTTCACACTTTCCATTTATGATTTCTTTTTTATGACCTCTCCCCTGACCTCTTGCTGCCCTGTGAAGAATTGGCCTCCTCCTCTTTTGTATATTCCAGATCCCCCAGGACAAGACCTAGACCTTGGCTTTTAGCCTGTTATGTTTCTCGTACTTATTAGAGATGAGCACCTTGTTAAGGCAGGAAGGGTTCTTCATTTTTCTGAAATTCCAGGGCCCAGAACAATTCTAGGTATACAATAGGTGCTCAGTATTTGTTCGCTGGATCAGAAAAACACAGTGCATAAGGTTCCCAGTGAAGATGCAGGTTGGCTAACATTTCTCCCACCCGAATCCCCTCTACATCTCCCCTGCTCCAATTTGTCTCTGTTGCTTCTGCCTGGTCTCCCATTAATTTTCCAAATTCACACTGAGAAATCTGCATGAATACAAAGCTGATTATGTCATTCCCCAGAGTCAATGGAAATAGTCAATATTTGTTTACTGGATAAATGAATGGCTAAACAAACAAGTTTGTATACACACACACACACACACACACACACACAATTGGCTCACATGATTATGGAGGCCAAGAAGTTCTACCATCTGTCCTTTGCAAGCTAGAGAGCTAGGAAAACTGGTGATGTAATTTAGTCTGGGACTGAAATAATGAGAACTGGTGATGGGGGACACAGCTGGTAGGAAGGCACTGGTGTAAGTACCACAATCCAAAGGCCTGAGAACCAGAAACTGATACCTGAAGGCAGGGAAGATGGTGCTCCACTTCAAGAAGAGGGAACATTTGCCTTTCCTCTGCCTTCTTGATCTGTCCAGGTCCTCAATGGGCTGGACAGTGCCCACCACACTGGTTAGGGATCTTCTTTATCCATTTACTAATTTTAACGTCAAACTCTTCTGGAACTGCCCCTTTTTTTTTTTTTTAGCCTAGTAAAGTTGACACGTAAAATTAACCCTTATAATGTCATTGGTAAAGAGTATGCTTACAGGCAGAGGCTATCTTCAGATAAGTTGATAACTAAGCATAACTAAGCAATCAAAACAGAACATGGCCCCAGTAGATTCTAGCAATAAATAACCAGTGTGATGATAAGGTACGGATTAGACATACACTGTATATATAGTAGGCATAACTTTCACATGTCACATGTGACCTTTCCCCCGGCATTACTCCTGATAGTGTGTTATGTGACATGGTAAGAGAGAGACTCTCAGGGGGGCCTAATCTCATCACACTAGCCCTCCAGAGCCAAGTGTTTCCTCTGGCTGTAAACGGAAGACAAGGAGATCCAGGGCATGAGGAAGACTTAACATGGCCTCACTGGAACCTTAAGCCAATTCCAGAGAGGAGCTTCTAGAAGCTAAGAGAAGCCAGCAAGGAAACGGAGATATCATTCCTACAGCTGCAAGGAGCAGCCAACAACCTGAGTGAGCCTGGAGGGAGATTTCCCAGCCCCTAAGTAAGCCCAGCTGGCTGGTACCTTGACACTGACTGGTACCTTGATGCTGGCCTGTGAGACTTCAAGCAAACAACCAGCGGAGCCCACCTGGACTGTGGACCCCCGTGAGATAATAAATGGGTGTTGTTTTAAGCTGCCAAGATTTTGAATTGTTATGCAGCGAGAAAACGGATACAAAGTATGATAACAGCCTAAAAATTAATACAAAAACTAGAAGAAAATACCAACATGGTAACAGTAGATGTTTTTCCTGCTAATTCATTCTTTAATGTACTGGGTGCTTCGACAATGCTTATGTGCTACTCTTGCAATGAGCAAGAAATTTATTCGTCTCTGTTTTCTTTTTCTTAGAAGATCTAGGCTTCTGAGGACGGAGGCTGCTTGCTCTTTATAGCTGGGTCCATAGATATTTGAGTAAACAAATTCAACTCTCCAAGTCAACGTGGGTTTGCGTTTTTAGGCATGATTTCACAGCAACGGTACTGTAAAAGTGCAGCGTTCCTATGTCTGATGGTAGCTGTGGAAGCGGGGACTCCCTGTGCCTGTGGTATGGTGACTTGGTCTGAGACCCCACGCCTAGTCCTGCAGCCTGCCAGTTCCAGCCAGGTCTGCTTGGCCTCTCCTTTTCTACCAGACCTCACGCTCTCCATGCTCCCGTTGTGTTCATCTTCTCACATCCTGGAGGCTTCTTCCCTTCAAGTGGGACGGGATCCCATCCGAATCACCTTCCTGGAAATAATGCCCAGGGATCCTGCCCAGTGACCACTTCTGTTTCCTGACTGACTTCTTAGATCAGAGAGGCCCCCAACGCTGCCCTCCCCTTCACTTTCCGCGTAACAGCATTTCTGACACCACTGTGTCCACCCTGCAGTCAGGAGCTGGGGAACCAAAGGCACCGTCTTTGTTCTTGGGGACCCGGTGAGACCACTAAGTGCATCTTGGTTTCTCAATTCCCCTCCCTGCCTCTGCTCCCGAGACGGGGCCGTGGGCCCAGGACACGTTTTGTGTCTGGGAATCCCTGTGTAGTCCCCAGTTAGCTGAGCCCTCCAGAGGCCCAAGTCTCCCTGGTGTCTTCACAACAATGGAGTAGCCCGCTGTGTGAGCAGGGCGCTGGGGCCCAGAGGCCTTGTGCAGTGTGCAGAGGGGCAAGCACCCCTCCCTGACTCACCACAACTCTATGCCTGTGTTTATAACAGAGTTTAAACAATCCCTGTGCCGTCGACAACCCCCGCCACAGG